TGGAAAAAAAAGATGGAATTGGAATTGAAAATTCCAACTTTTGGTGTTTGATACCTTATATTTTCCATGGAATTGCATTTCTTTGATTTCTTTGAACTTGGAATTTTCCTTGTTTTAGTGGAATTTGAATTCTCACCATATATGGTGAGAATTCAAATTCCACCCTACTGTAACGATTATTATTTTATTTTTTTTGTTGGTAATGGAAACCAATTCTAAGAATTATTGTAAAAAAATATTTTCATTTAATCGATAATTTTCATGTAAAACAAAACCAAACGAACATTAAAAAACACTTTTATTTCAATATTTTCCACGTGGAAAATTATACCAATCAAACAAAATAATTTACAATTCCCAAAAAAATAATTCTAGGCAATTCAATTCCTTGGAATTCGTTTCTAGGCAATTCAATTCCATTTTTACAATCAAACGGACCCTAATTGTTTTATTTATTTATCCTTTTTTTTTAATCACAAATCAAGTTTTTATTATTATTTTTTTTTTCATTTTTTGCTTTTTTTCATAGAATAGAATAATAAAGTTTGGATTTGGACAAAATGCCACTTGAAAAGCTCAATGAAGAGTGTGACATATACAAGAATCCTGAACCAATGATTGGCCCCCTTAGTAAGCCCCTTGAATTTTTCAAATTAAATGTGGGAGATTAAATTCATCTGTTCTATTGCAGGCCCTTGCCCACTACCAAAAACACGTTCACCAACTATTAATACCATAGAAAGTCATCAATGCAAAGTATAAAGTTTTACTATGTCAAGAGTAATTATTTATAACATTATAACATAAAATCTTGTAATTCAAGGCTGAATCACTCTTTCAACAATTGAGAAAATACATTCAAACCCTCAAAGGTTTGATAGGCTTCCATCCAAGCTGGTTTTCGAGGAAATTTTAGATTTTTTACTCCGGTATTTTTCTTGTTTTCAAACCACAAAAAAACACAGGCTGGAGATTTACCTTATCTGCTGAACTTGTTTAAGCAATTAAGAAGAATCTCTTATAATCATAAACATTGTTGAAGAATTGAACTCAAATTAGCCAATAGAAAAAGAAAAAGAAACTAAATTCAACTTGTTGCTAAGAACATTAATACTGATCAGACATAAAATATCATTACATTCTGAACAAAAGTGGCAAGAAAAAAGAAAAATAGAGAGAACAAAAAGCTGCATACCAGAAAACATTCAAGAAATTTGAATAGACTTCTTAATAGCTAAAGTAAAAGCCTGCAAATCCAAACAGACTTTACTCTTTCCTTTTGAACATCTAATTCTACACACACTGAATTCCAAGCTAAAGCATATAGCTTAATACCATGTTTAGCATATGGGATTAAATAGTATTCAACGGTTTTAAGTCTAATTATGTTGTATCGTCCTACCCAGCTAATTATCCAACTCTGAAATTCAAATTCTCAACTTCAATTTGAAGAACCTAAAATTCTTGGAGATTCTTTTTGGCAGAAGAACTCTTATTATTGTGCATCCAAACCTTGAAAACCTGTCTTTTAACCCCAACTTCAGCACAAAACCTTTGCACTTCGGTGTCATCTTCTCTAGGAATTTTCCACCCCAGTCTTTCTGCAAATTCTAGCATCTTATCCTTCTGCTCACTAGTAAACTTTGTACGGAACCGCTTCTTGTTGACAAACTGCGGTGGTGGAGGGGCCGCCGCGGCGTTGGACTGATAACCATTGAAGTTGAGCTCCTCAGTTGAAGAGTCTGTCCCTACACTGCCACCACCTCCACCGCTACCAAAAGCCATTTTCACTGGTTGCGCCATTGAACTCCAGTGGTTAATATTGTGCGCTCCCATGCGGTGTTGGGTTATTGATGGAGAAGGCAGTGGTGGTGGGAATGGAAGAGGGTGGATCATCCCCGCTGCTGTCGCCTCTCTGTGGTGTTCTTTGCGGTGAAAGTTGCGGTGGCAATTGCAAGCTGCACACTTTAAGGCTTCAAGGGTTCCTTCTTCACCACTGGGCATGAATTCTCCACACCCATCAGTCACATTTCCTCCAATACTTGCAGCATGATTCTTTAGGCATTCACGGTAGCTAATTTTTGTAGGTGTCTTCAGTTTAGATCCACCAGAATTGGGTTCCAAAGTTCTTGTTTTCTCCGGTTGAATCTCTACTGAGTTGTAGCCTGTAGAGCCTTGCATTCTCATATCCTTGTGTTCACCACTCAATGCCATTTTTTTTTATAAACCCTAAAATACTTGGCAACTAATTTTTCTTATCACAAGTAGGTTATCCCATCCAAGGATCACCAAATACTATATTAATAACTGATGTAAAATGCCGACAATCTTATTCTAATCTCACCAACCCATGATATTAATTTCAAGAAAATCTAAGGCTTAATAGAAAAACAACACAGAGAATTAAATGAAAAAGAAAGAAAGGAGACTGGAGAGAGACCTTATAATATTAAAATTAATCCCACAAAAAAAAATACATCAGAAAAAATATGAATCAAAGTTGCAGAAAGATCTCAATCTTGAACTAAACACAAACTAGGCCTTAACTCTTTACCGTAGAACCATTAATCTTGATCAAAGATCAAAATTTGTAAACTAGAAAAAGTAGAGGTAGAAAGATATAACGAAAAAAAAGTGGAGGAGATAGCCGGTGGAGGTGGAGGCCGTGGTGGGTTGAGGTTGAGGTTGAGCGTGAGGGTGAGGGTGTGTTGCAGAGGTTCCAACAGCCAACTATGTATCCAACAAGAGACAGGTTTGTTGCTTGTGAAGAAGCTAAGGAGAGAGAGAGATCTAGAGAGAGAGAGGTGGGAAACAACCGATGAAATTAATAATCTGAGCGAAAAAACAACCGACAGTGTCATGTTCGTCTTCTCGCAATCCCTGTCACCTGGTCCCATATTTCTATTCATTATTGCAAATGCATACACATCGCTACGCGTAGCCCCAACCCACACGTCATTTTCGAGTTAATTGTGCCAATGGTAATTGAATTTAGATTCATATATTTGATTAATCATTAAAATTTAGAATGTCAATTTTGATTACTGAATTAAGTCCATATCTTCGATTGCTCATTGAAATTTAAAATATTAAGTTTTGGTCATTGAATTTTAAAAAATATTTTAAATTACTCACTAAATTTTGAAAAATACAATATATTTGTACACTGTAAATTTAATATTTTTTTAAATTCAACAGTTATGCTAGTGAGTAACGTACGACATATTTCAAAATTTAGTAGTCAAAACTCGACATTTTAAATTTCAGTGAACAATCGAAAATATGAAATTAAATTCAGTGAGTAATCGAAAATATGAACCTAAGTTCAGTGATCAAAACTTGACATTTTAAACTTCAGAGATCAATTAAAAATATTAACCTAAATCCAATGAATATTGGAACAATTAACTCCTCATTTTCTCTTTCTTTTCTTTATTTTTACTGTTCCTTTCTTATCTTTGCCCGGTTTCCCACGTCCTCCTCTCTATTCATTAGAATTTACTTTGGACACTGCAAAGTGACAGCCTTTTCTTTGTCAACTAAATATTAATTACCGTCATAAATCTCCAGTTTTTCAAGATACTTTAATATTTATAATTAGGTGTCAATCAATTAACATCACTAAAATAACACCTAGATTATCTATCATCAGCCATTTGACCAGATAACATTATTGGTACTTCGATCCATCATTTGTTGTTTATGACAGTAACCTAGATTATCTACCATGAGTAGTGCTGATTTTTCCTTCTTCGTGAAAAAGAGGTATGAGTGGTACTGTTATTGTTTTGGAATTAGGGCTGGGGCGAGGGAGGGGGTGTTAGGAATTATTTTTATGTAAAAATGCATTTTTGAATAATAAATTGATGGAAAATGTGTGGTTGAAAAATAAGGAAATATTTTTTTTACGTGTAATATTATTTTAAAAAAGAATGTGTGGTTGAAAAGAAGAGAAAAAAAATACATTTTGAAAAAAATGAATACCAAATGGCTCCTTAATAGACGTTGATGGCATAGTTATCACTGGTGGTTACCTCGTTGAAATATCAAGGCTCAAAAATATTCTTCATACTTAGTTTTCTATCAAGAATTTGAAAATTTTGAAATACTTTCTCCGACTAGAGATTGCATATTTGAAGAAGGGCATATTTCTCATTCCAATTAAATATGTGTTGGTAAATTACGTGTCAAGCCAACTCAAATGCTGTAGAGTGTAATTTAAAATTACCATTTGATGGTAACCTATTAACTGGTGTGGTTCAATTTCAAAGATTGGTGGGAAGACTGATTTACCTCACAATTACTCGACTCGATATCTTATATGTTGTCGATCTGGTTAGTAATCTTATGTACCCTCCACGAGTTGCAATTATGGATGTCGTTAATCGAATTTTACACTATTTCAAGGGGTCACTTGGAAGAGGTATATGGATGCGTCAGAATGGTCATCCTCTTATTACTACATACACAGATGTAGATTGGGCTGGTAGTACGATTGATAGACGATCTACAATAGGGTATTGCACTTTTATTGGAGGTTAATTGGTGACATGGAGGGGATAAAAGCAGAATGTTGTTGTACGCTGTAGTACTGAAAGCAGAATATCGAGTACTGGCTTCTACTACAAGTGAAATTATTTAGCTTTGCTAATTGATAAGAGATTTGGGATTTGGCTCGTCACAACCCATACAGATGTATTGTGATAAATAATCTGATATCCATATTGCTTCAAATCCACTTTTTCATGATCAGGCCAAATACATTGAAGTTGATTGTCATTTTATACGAGAATAAGTCCAAGCCAAGGTTATTTGCACTCACTTGGTTTGTGGTAGTGGACAATTTGCTGATTTTTTCATCAAAGACTTGTCCACTGCAAGATTTTATGAGATATTGTCCAAATTGGGCTCTATCGATATTTTCACACCAACCTGAGAGGGAATGTTGGAGAAGAGAGATATTTGATGATATTTGAAGGATTTTATAATATTGGAGAATATTACGGCACAACCACGATTTTGTAGATTTCCATTATTCGTTATTTTCTTTCATTGATTGCCTCACCCTTAATAAAGCGTTCTTGATGTAATACGACTATGTATGTTTCATTGTAAGTTCCAAACATAAGTGCATAATATTCAAGCTCCTCTATTCTTACCATGGATATAGGTTGCTACATTGGCACTGAACCAAACAATTCTTTGCGTTCTTTTTAGTTTTATTGAATTCTTCAATAGGTATTACCCAAAAGGAAAGGGACATTAGGAAGGTATACATACAGATATATATGAGAAAGATGTACATATAGATACGGATATACATGAGGAAGATGACCTAGTTTATGCTTTTCAAAAAATCCAGAATGGATGAAAATGATGAGAAAAACGAGGAGTGAATTAGGATGATGAGTACAAAACAATATTGTATTTTTTTTTTCATTTTTAGTTTTTATTGGATTAGAAGTATAACTGTAAATTTATTGTGGTGTATTTATTGAAAATATATTTTAATTTTAGTATAAGTATAATGTGGTGTAGTAATTAAATTTTGTGGTGATAATACCGTTTGATTAAAGTATTTATATTAGAGTCAATATTAATTTTTATGAAGTAAGCGAAGTCTCTATGTATCGATTCGATTTTTTGACTCTTGATTCTTCTTTTACGAGTTAATACACTGTTTGATTTTAATAACACATGAGGAGTATTTTGGATCAACCACAACTTTTATTTGTGAAAGAAAACATTTTAAAAAAAGTAGAATCTTGTTAATTGATATGAGAGAGAGAGAGAGAGAGAGAGAGTACTTAAAAATAAATAAAAGGAGATTGTGAATGTTCAATTTTGTTGGATCTTCTATTATATTGAGTGTGTTGCCACTTTTTCATGCTTCCCTAAGCAATGTTTTCACCTTTTTGACATTTCGACGTTACTCTCTTTATATTCTACACATGTATTACATTATATTCGGGATAAAATTCAGATTTTGATCTAAATTAAAGTCAATAATTATTTTTAATAATATATTTCATGAAATTTACAACTTTTCAACCACAAATTTTATCAAAATACACTAAAATTCTTATTTTTATCTCCACCAAACAGAATGCAAACATGTACCCTTAAGTGCTTCGAGACTTGCTATTTAGTGCATGTTTGAGCCCCCTTTTTTTTTTTTTTTTTTAAAGAATGCATTTTGAAATAATAGATTTATTGAAAGCATGTGGTTAAAAAATAAAAAAAATTTTAGATTTTTGTAAAATTTTTTTTTTTTAAAAATTGTGTAATTAAAAAAAAAAAAAAAGAAAAATGGATTTTGAAAATAATGATAATCAAACAAGGCTTAACTTTGCTTAATGAAACAATGCAAATTCATTTGGCATATTCTAAGCAAGATTTTTCATAAATTAAAAGTTATTTTTGAAATTAAGAAAATAATTTTGAACTTTTTTAATAATACTTTGCGTGCATAGATGCTTATCAACTACCACATCCATATCAATATGGGTCCAGCCCTCCATTTTCTAAGTTGATCTATTAAAATTGAATCGAGCTACGTGTACAGTTTTGTTTGACAAAATCTTTACAGATTTATACTTGTCAAGTTTCCATTTGCAGTTGAAAAAAAAAAGGAATAAAAGAGAACACTGCCAAGATTAACAGCTTGTTTGGGAGCGATTTTTTGCCTCAAAAAATTGATTTTTTTGATCATTATTTCACTATTTCAGTTGTCATATTTGACTTCTTCTCTCACATGTGGATCCCACTTTTATCTTAACGATCAAAAAATCAATTCTCAAAATCACTCTCAAACAGGCTCTAAGCCTTTGTTTGTCATAAAGCTAGTCGAAAGAAAACTTAAAAAGTGCTAAGATTAAGCATTTGTTTGTCAATCATTCTATCGCATTCCTTTTTCTATTGTAGTTATTTTTAACTACACATTCTTCATTAAAATAATATTATACATAAATCCAAAAAATTTTCTTCTTATTTAATCATACATTTCAACATCAATTACTTTTCATAATACACTTTTTAAAATTAAAGGGGCCAAACAAGCCCTAAAATTAATAATTAATTTTAACTTCATATTTCATAATATTCACAACTTTTATCAATTTTCAACTACAGATTGCATCTTCTTTTCTCAAAAATTGCCAAAACTTTATTTAGAAACTTGTCAAAGAACCCCTTAATATTGACTAGCGAAGAATGTAAAAATAATTACAATAAAAATCTCAATTTCAGGTGATAATCTCGATCCAAATTTGCTGTCTCCCAATTGTATCCATATTGGGAAGTTGTTATTTCACGCGTGTACGTGTGACTCTTGGGTCAAAACTACAGGTAACTTCATTCGCTTTCTTTGATTCAAACCATACACAAAACTGGACGCTTGAAATCGATACCCTGCATCTTCCCCAGATACTAAAGTTATCAATCAGTCAAAAAAAAAAAATAAATAAATAAATAAAAGTCAGTTTCGCGTCATATTGAAGTTGTCGATCATAATTTTCCCTCCTAATTCTGTCCAAACGTTTTAGTTCCTTTGAATTTGGATATGCCCAGCACACATGGTTGGTTTGTTCACAATTTACCATAAATATTAATGCCTTTACACATGTCCTTGTACCTTCTCAAATGCTAACTGGTAATCGGCCACACCTTATATTGTCTACTTGGGTAGTAATACAATTTCCAGGTGCACCCACATAGCAAAAATGTGTGGCGCACCGCACACACTAACCTTTTCTGCTGTTGAAAGTTGTATGGGTTCACTCTCTGTTTCATAAACTTGGGATTTTTTGGCGCCAATC